TTTTGGTTTGATTATATTATTGAATTAAATTTATTGTTATTATATTATTATTTTTTATGATTATTTATTATATTATAATTTATGATTTCGTGTTTCAAATTTTATCCTATGTTTACTAGACTCTTGTTCGGACATATTTCAGTGAGTTATTCCTAAAAATTACAGGTCTTCAATAAAAAAAAACATAATTCCATGCAAAAAAGTGTACCGCTTTGAGCACAGAAATATGGACATAATCAGACCACTAGGGAGGTTAAATACTGATATAGATTGGTAAAAGACCAGGGTTCAAAGTTCAAAGTTCAGCAAAGGTATTATGTCAAAACCATAACATAAATATTAAAAATAGTATAATAGATAAGAGATATAAAACACTAATAGAAAATTACAAAAGGACATATCCCAAGGTTAGAAGGTTATGGACACAGGTATACAACATGGTCAATATGGTTCTCCATATCAACCTGCACAAAAATCCCTGGGAAGCACTTCTGCATAAACCAATAGAAAACGTAACCTGATGCGAACATACACTAATCTCTCACATTTTCATGGCTATAAAACAAACAATTGCAAGGGTGTGGAAATCACCGACGACTGATCATTTTCCATCCTCATAGTTGATCACCCACTTCTTGGAACTGTAACTAAAACACCACAAAATTTTGCCTGACATGTGAGCATCTGGGTATTCCCCTCCATCCCATTGTACCCCCCAGTATACCCTACCCTTCTTTTTCATCCCGATTAATCCCTTTTTCCTTTCTGAATACTCTTGTCCCCCCCCCTTTTTCTCTTTTCTGCAAATCCCACCCCTCGGATTCATATATGGGGCTTTTTTTTTTTTTTTTTAGTCAATAATTACATTATAACCAAACCAAGGTGTACCATTTTGCTTCAAACTGGCCATCCATTTATAGGTCTTTCTGTGACATGTCTTTGATTGTATTTTAGATATACCATTTCCAGTTTGTTGGTACATATTGAGTACTATTGCACCATGGATCATCCAACCATCTGTTGATTTATGTACTGTTAGCACTATCTTTAAGAGTCAACCTAATTTGTTGATGTTTATATAATTTTTCCTGTAAGAAGGGTTGGGCCTTTACATAGGCACTCTTGAATGCAGTTTCATCATAATAACCCCTTCCTGCCAACTGGACACATATATGATTCTGATTGTTAGTACCTGGATCTGGGTCACCTGATTACTGTAATAGCCTCTGGTTGGCTATCACAGTGATCAGTCACTGTGCAGCCTGCCCTTGTGTTTGTGGCCCTTTGCTTGCCTTCATCCAGCCTTTGGGGCACTGTTCCTACCACTGATATGAAACACTATTCTGTCCACTGAGACCAATGATGGGGCACTATTCCTTTCACTGATACCAATGATGGGGCACTATTCCTTTCACTGATACCAATGATGGGGCACTATTCCTTCCACTGATACCAATGATGGGGCACTATTCCTTCCACTGATACCAATGATGGGGCATTATTCCTCCCACTGATACCAATGATGGGGCACTATTCCTCCCACTGATACAAATGATGGGACACTATTCCTTCCACTGACATCAATGATGGGGCACTATTCCTCCCACTGATAACAATGATGAGGCTATATTCCTCCCACTGATACAGATGATGAGGCACTGAAAATTTTTATTAAAATTAAAAAAAAAATAATTACATTGTAAAAAAAACATACAAACATTTCTAATCTGACTAAAAAGCCATGCCTAATATGTGGTATATTTAGCCACACCTACTGTTTGCCACGGCAGACTCAGCATGCCGCAGGTTATCATCTTCTGGGTGGGGAAACCAGTGCATTAGTTTGCACAGAGGCACATGATGCTGTTGAGGTGGTACTGCCCAAGACGGCAGTAAGGGGGCCGCTGCAGAACATGTGAAAGGAGGCCCAAGGAAGCTTCCAGAAACCAGTGGGCGGAAGGGGTGGAGACCTAAATCTGCATGTTTATGGGAGTCTGACCAATCACAGGCTAAGAGGCCCTGGTAGTGTGGTAAGACTAGCCCATAAATATGAGAGAACCATGTTAGGGAGAGAGTCGGGTGGAAGATGGAGTGCCGAAGAGACTGTTGGTGGCCTAGGAGAGATCCCCTAGGTCTAGGGGACCTTTACCTCCAGGCTGGGCTCAGCCTGGCTTGTGGAGATCTCATAAACAGCACAGCTTGAGAAGGAATCTCACCTAAGTAGTAGCAGGGAGCAAAGAGGACAGAGTGAGTACATCAGCACACCCAGGGATTCACAAGAAGAGAGACTGCCATGTGTAGCAAGCTTTCAAAGGATGGTGATGTGCCTAACACGTCATCCTTGTCCTGGGAGATCTTCAGAGCAGCCAGGAAGGCTGGTAGTGTCTACAGACTGTGGGCTGGAAGCAGTTCTACAAGGTGCATATAGTTTGCAACAATCTGTGCTAACTTTTAAAGGGGACCTGAGAGTTCCCAGTCCGTAAAAGGCTTTCTGCTACTAATTTGTAAAGACTGACCTTATCCAGGAAGGAGAACAGTCCAGATTTGTCTCTGTACATAGGAAGAAAGTTTCTCTGTACATAGGAAGAAAGTTGTCCCTGTGCATTGTTTCAGTCAAGTTGGGCATCCCATAATCCCTAATCCCTATTACCCCATCCAATTTCCCTTATTGAGAAAAAAAAAAACAAGCTCAGAGACTGTTTCATTGTGTCTGGAGAAAAGTGGGGAAAAATGCTTGTTGCCTGGCTGTGCAGCTACAGGGGAACCAGTTACTAGTGACCATCATGTAAAGATGGTAATATTCTCAATTTTACACATAAACTCTCTGATATGCACACAGACACTGATTTTGGAACTGGGGAGGGCTGCTCAAAGCTGTTGGGAGAAGTGGCCTTTACTGTACCCAGCCATGACCTGGCTGCTATACAGGAGGCGGCCACCAACACAGAGCCTCCCTGGATGGGAGAGAATAACACACTCTGAGTGATATTTTATTTATATAAGGCGCATAAAATCTGCGCTTCCGGTGAGTGCGCATTACCTTATCACTATTGCACGGATACCGGGTCTAGAGCACCTAAGCACAAGAGTCACTTTATTATACTTATTGGTTACACATCGGAACTTTTTTATTTATCGAATCCCAGATGGGATATTTATATTGATTTTATATTTGAGATATTTGATTATCATATATATTGATTTTTAAGCGTTGCACTTTCTTGTTTTTTATAGATATAACAATTCTACCTAAAATATTAGCCAGAAGACTAAATAAAGTAATTTCTAGTGTCATACATTCTGATCAAGCAGGCTTCCTGCCTCACAAATCTACCGCTATCAACCTGCACAGACTCTTCCTGAACATGCAAACTCCCCCTGACGGCAACATGGGACCAAAGGCTCTTATTATCTTTAGATGCCAATAAGGCATTTGAAATGTTGAGTGGCGGTACTTTTGGGAGGTTTTGAAATTCTTTGGCTTTGGAGATACCTTTATTTCATGGGTGCAGTTGCTCTATTGCGCTCCTAAGGCTGTAATTCAAAGGGGTAATCTGGTGTCCAATTTGTTCTCCCTGGGATGGGGCACTTGTCAGGGCTGCCCCTTATCACCCTTACTGTTTGCTCTGGCAATAGAGCCACTGGTTTCTCGTATTCGGGCCTCTATGTCCATTCGTGGTTTTCAATATGGAGAAATATGCGAGAAGCTACTATTATATGCTGATGACATGCTGCTCATGTTAGAGGACTCTAACTCCAGCTTGCAAACCGTGATGGTTGTTATTGGTGAATTTGGCCAGTGTTCGGGACTAACCATTAACTGGTCCAAGTTGGCTTTACTGGCCCTTGATGATCAACTGAACCTACTCTTCCACCAGGGATGCCTGCTACCTATAGTTTCTAGTTTTAAATACTTAGGCATTGCGATCTCTAGAACAGTCACTGATTTTCTAGGGCTCAATCTTAATCCGCTGCTTAAACGTTTTGAGATAATAATACAGATATGGCGGAAACTGTAGATTTCTTTAATAGGTTGGGCCAATTTGGTTAAAATTATTCTTATGCCCGTTACTCTGTCTGTTACACAATTCCACAGTGATAATTCCTTATAAAACTTTTCGTACTGTTAATTCCCTTTTCTGCTCCCTTTTTGGAAGCAAGGCCCTCCTAAGATTAAGCTAGAACAACTCCAGCGCCCTAAATTAGCAGGAGGTATTGCGTTTCCACACACATGGCTTTATTATATGTCTGCTGAACCGCAACATATGGTGAGCGGTATGAACCCCCCTGCTGGTAATGCTCGGTTCCACCATGACACTACACTAACTGTGGCTCTTCGTTTTGTTAACTCATCATCTTTACCTGAAGGGCTGGAATCGCAATCCTTTGCTACACCATGTAGGACTTTCCCCACCTATAGGCTGATGCATAAGATTTGGCAGACTTGCAATCTAAATTTAATCTCCCTGTGCAGATGCATTTCTATTATCTACAGTTAAGACATGCGGTAATGGCCCAGCGCTTTTCTCATGACTTCTGCTTCTCCCCTACCCCCATTTTTTGATTGATGCAACAGGTTCCCTCTACTAAGGGCTTTATCTCAAATTGCTACCAACATCTCCCCTCCACTAAGGGATTTATCTCGAATTGCTACCAACATCTCCTGGGGCCCTATTTGAATAATTACCCTTGCAAGGCTCGAGAGCTGTAGGTGCCAAATGTGGGGGAGCTGACTCAAGAACAATGGGAGGAGGCTATGGAGGCGGTTTTCTGCAGTTCTTTGAATGTGTCGCAGCACCTCTGACAGTTGTACATACTGATTAGAGTACATTACACCCCCTTTAAACTGCATAGGATGGGTTTACTGACTGACTCCCTTTGTCCTAGGTGTTGAAAGGTACTATGGGGACCCAGGACTGACAACTCATGGGGCCCCCGGGCAATAGAGGATCATGGGGCCCCTGTGTCCTTGCCCAAACTCAAAAAAGCCTATGAAAAAGGTACCAGGGGCATCTCATGGTGCCCCCTACTGACCCTGGGCCCTCGGGCAGTGCCCGAGTTTCCAAATGGTCAGTCCGCCCTTGTGGGGACCTGATTCATATTGCTGTGGCACTGCCCCAAGCTTCACAGATACTGGCTCTGAGTGCTGAGTATTATTAACCAGGCCTATCAACTTCAGTTATCATTGGATCCTTTGTCTTGTATTTTGGATCCATTGATCCTTGATGCGTTTGTTAAGGACGCAGTATCAAGAGCCCTGTTCCAGGCCCAAAGGGCAATTTTGTTGCACTGGAAGAGACATTTGCCCCCATCTACACAGGACTGGCTTAACAACATGCATACCACCCTGCGTTATGAGAAACTTATATACTAACATAGAGGATGCCTGGCTAAATTTGTCAAAATATGGGATGGCTGGCTTTCCATTCCTGGCCTGGCTCCAGTGGAGTTGGTGCTGCCTCGTTAGGATATGGTTAGACTTGTTAGTGGAGGGGTTGTCTTTCTAGGATAGTTCAACTTTGATATGGAATATGAATGATCATAATACTGATCTAGTCATGATGTTTTTATTGCTTTTTGCCTTGTCTACTCACTAAAGAAAGGTGGGAGTGTTGTTGTACAGTCTACTGCTTACTACTTTATTATACTAGTATGATTTTGCAGAATCTGTACTCTAATGCTGATTGCCATCTGTACTGTATGCTGTTTTGTGACACAGACATTTTGGAAATTGTACCTAAGTTTTGTTCAATAAACTCTTTTTTGATTTAAAAAAAAAACAAGATTATACAATCTCCTTGTTGGGTGTTGTGAAACATCTCCATTCTCATCTGAAAGCAATGCTGCCTAGATGCATGCGTTCAAACCTAAAACACAGTAAAGGGATGTTTAAATTGATGAGCCTGGAATGCAAATAAATCTAAAAAAAAATGTGCATTGTTAAAGGAAATGCAAAGCAAAATAACAACTCAGGCTCAAAACTACAGTTATATGGAAATCTGCTATCCTCAGTTTGATGCGCTTGTCAAATAAACCTCAAAATAAAAAAACAGCATCAGTCTGTATGTGCCCTAAAGCGTTAGATTTACAAACTACTGCAGGGGCCTACCTATACAATTCATCAGGTACAGCAGGTCCTTGTATTCTAAAAGAGAAGTATGGCCAAAGATTATTTGGCCATACGTCTCTTGCAGGTCACAGGAGTGCACTTGTGCTCTCCTGTTACCTAGAATCAGCTGACACCAGGCTGACATCAGAGTCGCTCCAAGCTTTGGAAGGATCCCGACAATAATGTCAGGATCCACCAAGATGCCTGAGCAGCAGTTGGCTCAGCGTCTCAGCACAGTGCCAGTCATTCCCACACCCTCCCCAGCCCAGTGCTTCAGTTGGATTCAGAGTTGGATGGGCAGAGCAGACAGCGTTGACTGACAGGGCTCACTGAGAACTGAGCAATCAGCTGTCATGTGATCGCTCAGTTCTTAGTTTTAGAACTGGCAATGGCCTGTGCGTTCTTGTGCAATTCAAAACGCATGCAAAACGCATTCCATTTGCGATCTGCAGTGGGCATCAATAGAATGCTAATGACACCCCAAATGCAGGTTGCAAATGCAGAGCATTTGCCCCCAACGGTTCCCATGGTACAAAAGTAATATGTTTTAAAAAGTAGTGCTTGCAGTTTAAAGCTTACAGCACAGAACCCCATATGAATTGCACAGTAATGCAAAGCACGTTCCTGTGTGATTCATTTGCAGGCATGGTGTGAATCTGCCCTTAAAGTTGTTGCTAAATCTAGAGATTGTAAAATCTGATTGTGATGTGTATGACCAGCACTGAACCTGTGGGTCAAACCACACACTGCATCTATTAGGTGACTTTTCTGCTGACATAAAACCCTGCAGAAATGAAGTCAAATAGAAGCTGGAAGCAGTAAAGGTGCTGGGTATTAACAGGGTGATTTTCTGCAGAAGGTATGAGCCTAACACTCCATTCACACTTGTGCAACTTCAAAATCGTGCAATTTTCACTGCAACTTTACAGTGTGACTTGATGCAACTTTGATGCGACTTTGGATGAGTGCGACTTTGGCTTTGACCAAGGATGATTGTTTGTTCTGTACAATGTTGGGGGTTTACATTGAAGTCTATGGCCCTCAAGTCGCATGAAAGTCGGACCAAAGTAGTGCAGGAACTAATTTTGAGTTGCTGCGACTTGAAGTCACACAGGTATGAATGGTACTAATTGGAAAACATGGGGTTCGACTTGTCATGCGACTTTGGACCCCAAAGTCGCATGACAAGTTGCACAAGTGTGAATGGGCTCTAACTAAAGGTGACCATATATGGATAAAAATTCTGCTGATTCAGCAGGGACTAAAGGAACTTCGATTTGTGTGTGACCCTCTCTGTTGGATAGAAGTCAATTGTTTGATCAGCTTCTATGTAACAAACAAGTTGGAAACCTTTTGTTGATCGGCAGCTGCAGCCACTGATCAGTGTATTTTGACAGTGCTGAGTCCCATTGTTAGTATACAATGTTCCTGCGAGAGGAATTTCTCAATCCACCTTGTTTGTAGGAAAATTACTTTTCTTCTTTTGTATGTGTGTGTGTGAGCCAACTTTAATAAGCTGCATTTCATATTACTTTACACTGAATGAGATCAGATTCTTGCAACAGATGACACTGAAGAGAAATAGGAGTGCTTTAAGGGCATATTAAACAATGACATTTATCAGTGCATTCCACTAATATAATGCAGGCCATAGACGGGCCATTAATCGGCCGATAAATGAAAAATCGGTCAGTGCCGTTGCCGATGCTGCCACCAATGCTCACAAAAAAAATGGGACAAGAAACCAGTTTGACAGAGACAGGGGATCACACCATACAATGTGACAGCAATACAAATACTTTGTTTTTATTTGGATACAAATGGATACATTTGTTGCAACCGCAAGACTTTTTCATATCAAAATATAATAGCAGACTTCTTTGTTGCAACCGCAAGACTTTTTCATATCAAATATAATAGCAGACTTCTTTGTTGCAACCGCAAGACTTTTTCATATCAAATATAATAGCAGACTTCTTTGTTGCAACCGCAAGACTTTTTCATATAAAGTATAATAGCGGACGTCTTCTTCTTCTTATTATTATTATTCTCAGGACATCTGAAGGACATCAGCTGAAACAACAGTTTTTTTCTACTCCTATAAACCTATCTTTGCTTGGAAAATAGAACATTTTAATGAACCTTTTTAGAACCTCATTACCTTTTCTAGGAATACAATTAAATGTTGGACTTTCAGAAACAATATATATTATATATATATATATATATGTGTGTGTGTGTATTTACAGTAAAAAGAATGCTGGCAACCTTGCAGGTCACGGCTCATGCGCAGATTTTTTATCGGTAAAACGATCGGCTGATTTGCCCATCATTGCCGGGAAAATCGGCCGATCGTCCAAATGGGCCGCAAATTTTCCAACATGACCGAAAAAAAACTGTGCAAAAAATCAGAAAAACGGCTGACCAATTAACCCATTAACAGTGCGAAAATTGGCCGCTTTTTTTTTTCGGCTGAAAAATCGGCCGATTTTCGACCCGTCTATGGCTGGCATAAGTCCTCATGCACACTGGACATTTTACAGCTGCTGTTTTTGGCTTTTGATGTTTTTTCCTACAGCCAGTAAACTCCCCAGTATGTTATCCTATGTGTCCATGCACACATAGACTGTAATCAACGTTTTTTGGCAGGGACGTTTTTTGGCTGGAAAAAAACCCCAGAACCTAGTTCTGGGGTTTCTAGAACTGAGTTTCTATTAGAGTTTTTTAGATGTAAAAATGCTCTAACGCTGAAAAACGTAGTAAATTGCGGCAAACCAGCATTTCTGGATTTGTTTTGACTAAAAAAAAAAATTTGGGGTAAAAAACCTCTAAAAAACAAATGCAAAAAAAACGGCAAAAACGCTGCTAAATGCTAATTCAAAAAAGCTAAAAACCACTGAAAAACTCACGTTTATAAAGTGATTTTACACAGCTAACGTTACCAGCGTTATTAAAATGCCCCGTGTGCATGAGTAGTAAAAGGACACAAGTTAAATCTGGGTGGCACACTAATGTAAAAAGGCATAGTCATGAACAAAACAGTCCTTTAAAAAAAAATAAGGCTGAAAGGGTCATCACTGGCATTCCACAAAAGGGTGCAATAGGATATGCAAGAGAGTGACTAGTGCAACTAAAATAGATTACAAAGAAACAAACAAAAACAACCCCCCCCCCCACTCCCACAAAAAAAAAATGGGCAGATTCGATGGCCCACTCGGTCTTTTCTGCTGTCACGGTTTCTACATTGGGAGAGATTTGCTAAAACTGGTGCACACAGAATCTGGTGCAGCTGTGCATAGTAACCAGCTTCCAGGGTTAACACCCCAGTCACATTGGGTGCGACTTGGCATGAGATTTGCATGCCATGCGACTTGCAAATCGCATGCCAAGTCGCACCCTATTGTCCGTTATTAGAGCAGTCATATCTGTGCGGTTCCAACTTAGTCGGAGCCGCACCGATTTCTAAAGTAGTGCATGCGCTACTTCTGTTGGGATTTGCATAGACATCTGTATCAGATGTCTTGCAAATCGCAACTGAAATCGGTAGGTCACCCAATTTTGAAATCATGCGACTTCACTGTTGAAGTGACCGGGGGCTTATTGTCAAAGCTTAATTGAACAAGCTGAAGTTAGAAGCTGATTGGGAAGGAAAAAAATTACCTGCACACGTTCTTTCTCTTTAACTACTTAGTTAAGCAGCAGTCTGCATTACCCTTGCATTACCAGGCCATTTTTCAGTGTTGTGATAGTTTGGCAATTACTTGGTCGTACAACACTATAACAAATGCATTTTGTACCATTTTTAAAATACATAGAGCTTTCTCCTGGTGGTATTTATTTAAAAAAAGAAGTATTTAATCACCGCCGAGTGTTTTATTTTTTGTCGGCACTGCTGGGTAGCACTGATGGGGGGGCAGTGCTGGGCACAGGTGGGTGGCACTGATGGGCAGTGCCGATCCATCCTCTGACAATTGCCTGTTATGCAGCCGATAACCGGCAACTGCATTTACCGGTGATCTGCTGTGTCATTGGACACAGCTGATTATGTGGAAAAAGGCCGCTGTGATTGGCCTTTTACAAC